TAAGATGTACAATAAAATTTGGGGCCCAGGTGGTTATGGCAAATAGAAATGTAATATTGTTGATCTTATAACACAACTGTGCCCCCAAAAAACCCTACATGGGTTGCAATGAGATGTTAAATAAAATGCAGTTACACGTACTTATACTGGAGCTAAACCCAAATTATGAATGTTTTCTATTGCTTGTAACGTTTTTCTGTTTAAACTGAATTTTATGAAGTTATAACCTGGAAAAAGCAACTGAAGTGATGTGATATAAAACGTATCAGCATGGTAACAAGGCAGCGCGTGTTCACACAAACTTGGTGGGCATTAAGGGTTCTGCTCTACAGCAGTTTAGATCCTGTCTATCAGAGAGGAGCTTTTGTGTGCATGTTGTAGCAATTGAGTCCTCTGTAGCACCTCTCACGTGTGGAGTACCTCAGGGCTCTATATTTGGACCTCTTCTTTTTTACATTTATTTACTCCCACTCGGATCTATTCTATGGAAATGGTGTCTCATTCCATTTTTATGCCGATGACACCCAAATTTATTTTCCACTGAAACAGGAAAATCAATATTCTGTGAACCAATTCCTGGAATATCTGGCAGAAGTCAGAGCATGGATGTCACTGAATATTTTACATTTCAATGAACAAAAGACAGAGGTTGTGTTGTTTAAGTCCAGTGACAGCTCTAAAGTCCAAGTTGATCTTGGTCCTTTAGCACAACATCTGACCAAGACAGCAACTAACCTGGGTGTTAAACTGGACAATGATTTTAAACTAGATGTTCAAATTAAATCTATGATCAAGTCCAGCTTTTATCACCTGAGACAACTGGCCGAGGTCAAGCCATTTCTTTCACATCATCATTTTCAGATCTTGATCCATGCTTTTATCACAACTTGCTTAGACTTCTGCAATGCACTTTATGTCAGGCTGAGCCAATCGTTACTGACTGGACTTCAGCTGGTTCAGAATGCTGCCGCTCGCCTTTTAACTTGTACCAGAAAACGAGATCACATCACTCCTGTTTTACAATCACTACATTGGCTCCCAGTTCACTTCCGGATTACTTGTAAAGTTTTACTGTTTGCTTTTAAATGTCTTCATGGTCTTGCCCCAATGTATCTATCTGACCTGCTCCAACCTTACACTCCCTCTCGTGCCCTCAGGTCAGCAGATCACTTCCTGTTGGTCGTCCCTAAATCTAAGGGGAGGCTGAGAGGTGATCGAGCATTTTCAGTCGCTGCCCCTAAACTGTGGAATGAGCTGCCTTACATCAGACAGGCTGACTCACTTCCTGTTTTAAAATCTGCTCTTAAAACACATTTTTACTCCTTGGCTTTTAACTCAGTTTGAGATGTTGGTTTTAATGTTTTTGTTTTTCTGATGATATTAGATATTGGCTCATTTTTACTTAGTTTATTGTTTTGTGTACGTTTTATGTGTTTTTAATCATGTACAACGGGGTTGTTTTAAAGAGCTTTACAAATTAAGTTGTATTGTACTGTATTACATCCTCTGTAGGGTAGACCATACCATTTCACAGCTGTTTATGCAGCCGACAAGTGCAGTCTACGGCCCACGTTGACTGCAGCAAACGTTGGCCATGATCTACATGGCCATCTACATCTACACAGCTGCACTGTAAGTTCATCCATCATATGGATGTACCAATAGAGACAGCACTATCTGGTATCTGTCCAATACCCTCTGTGTGTACTAAATAAAGATAAACATAAATGTCCTGATGCATCTCAGTAATCCAGGTAAAAAATCAAAAAGAAAAAAAAATTGTATAGGTCTTCTGGACGGGTTCTTCTCTAATGAAATGTTTCGTCTCTCCTCCAAGAGACTTCTTCAGTCTGAGAGTTTCAGGCTAAATTCAGGCTTTTAAGCCCTGCCTCCATGGGACTGATACTCACATCACATGGCTATTGTTGACACCTAATTAACACCTATTGTTAACAGGGGGTGGAGTGATACTGGCAATAGCCGCGCTGTAGGAGGGGGACAACTGAAAACGGAGGCCTCCACCTCTGTTTAATGATGGACGGTCTTTCTTCACAAAAATGGCTTCTTTTACTCCTCTCTCAAACCAACGTTCCTCTCTATCAAGAATGAGAACATCCTCATCTCTGAAAGAGTGACCGCTGGCCTGTAAATGAGTGAAAACTGCAGAGTCCTGGCCATTAGACGTAGCTCGTCTGTGTTGGGACATTCTTTTGAACAGTGGCTGCTTTGTTTCCCCGATGTATAACTGGTCGCAGTCCTCCTGGCACTTAACAGCATATACAACATTYATCTGTTTGTGCCGGGGCACCGGATCTTTGGGGTGAACCAGCCTTTGRCGTAATGTGTTTTGGGGTTTGAAAGCTACTGGGACATCATGTTTAGAAAATAAACGTCTCAGTTTCTCCGAAACACCCGCAACATACGGAATAACCACTGGTTTGGGTCTGGGTTTGGGGTCTTCATTTTCACCTGAAGGTTGCATGGAATCCTGTCTGTGTTTCCTGTCTGCTTTCAGGAAAGCCCAGTCAGGATAACCACACTGCTCCAGGGCCTGTCGTGTGTGTGATTTCTCTTTTTGCCTGGCTCCTGGGTTTAAATATAAATCCTTATCAGCACTCAAATAAAAGTATTTGAGCTGTATTTAATTTTAAAAAGTCTTACTATGCATCCCTAGTCATTTATAATTCATACTCCAAGGTTTAACAAATCATACAAGATCTTTTAAAGCTTTGGCTAAATGCTAATTTAAGTTGTTTGGTTGCATTAAAGAACACGAGGAGTCAGAAGACCTTTCAAAGGCAACTTCCAGGCCTCGGGCAGTATGTTGACCCCATGTGGTCTGAATATAAATCAGAACTTCAAACTACTTCTGATGGATAAAACCTTGAACTCAAAAGTGAAAATCATAATGATTGTGTTCGACAGAGACTAAATGTAAAAATACTGTCTGAGCAACTTTTAATGATTAAAATGATGTCTTTTAGAAAAAGCAAGTGTGTGTATGTGTGTGTGTGTGTGTGTGTGTGGGGGGGGGAGCGGACGGCTTTCCAGCTGCTTATCCTGGCTTTCCAGGATAAGCCAATGCCTGGTCCCCATGGGTATGGAAGCTAATTATGGGTGTGTAAATGAGTTTAGGTTAGTTTTAGGGTCAGGTAGGTACCTGTGAGGTTAGTTTTAGGGTAAATGGATCGATTGGTAGCTCGTCAGCTGAGAGCAACAGTTGTGCTTTGCTCCGGCCCGGGACTCATGTCCGCTCGCTGAGCTCTCCGGCAGAAGCGGTGGAGGTGGGAGGCGGGAGGAGATTACATTCCAGCCTTGAACACGCTCCCTCCACCCTCCCCAGCACAGCTGAGAGCCGGCTCGTCAGCTCCACTCACAGACGCAGTCTCGTGAGTTTTGGGTGCGGTGAAACAGCACTCAGAACACGGTCTCGCAAGACTTTAGTGTCACGTGTTCACAACAAAGCAGTGAGGTGGAAAAAAAAATGAATGAAAGACAGCTAACAAGTAAATAAAACTCATTATTTTCACCTGGAGTGGGAAGAGGACTCGTAATTCGAGCGCTGCCTTGGCTTGTCCAAAAAGGATAACGTGGAACTGCATTTCTTTCAAAATAATGCGCAGATGCTATGAGATGGATTCCCCCTCCTAAGCTAAGGTAAGGCTGCTAATGCAGCCCCGTACCTGCCTCAACACAAAAAAAACACTGCAGAAAACATCTTTCAGTGATGACGAATTTATGAAAGAAACGTTTGATGCTGTAGACATGCTTCGCTGTGATTTAAAAAATAAAAGTTGCTGCTATAAGACGTGCAGCTGTCCACCAGGATGGATGGATGTGTCCAAATTCGTGTTTCAGCTGGACTGCTCCGGTGTTGAAAATGAGGTTTTGACTCTGTAAAATGACATTGGGATCAAATCCAGAGCAACAAGTCACATAGATGGAGAGTTCTGGAGTCAGCTTTCTCTCACATGAAAATCATCAAGTCCAAGAACAAAACCACAAAGACTGGTGATCATCTGGAGACCTGCTTACACCTCATACTGCCRYCCTATGAGACCCTGGGCAGTGTCAGAAGTCCCACTAAGGTAGACGTACATTTATTTTTATAAAGCTTCTTGCATAAAAAGTTGTCTCCTCTAGACTTGTCACAATGTGTCTCTGTGTTGTTTTTATTACATTTTAGACCAGACTAGTATCTTATACACTGACTGGCACATTTGTGTTATTAATTTATTTATTTACTTGTTTTGCAGTTGTTTTCTCTACCTAACGTGCGTGCGTGTGTGTGTGTGTGTGTGTGTGTGTGTGTGTGTGTGTGTGTGTGTGTGTGT